ATCGATTAGGTCCTGCGTAGAGAAACATCGTAGCCAAACAGCGGGAAAATCGGAATCTCCCATGGTCCTTTGGCATACCCTCCAAGATCGAGTTTTGTCCCCATTTGTTATAGGTATTCATTAGCTCATCTTGAAAATACACTTTCGGGCGTACAAAAGCGACTGTATACCCCCCACCCCTTTCCCCTACGCGTTTCCGATTGTGTCTAGTTGGTTAGGCCCATCTTATCGTCCTCAGACTCAATTCAGCAGAATGCAGCTTCCTCCGATTACTTTGGTATACCTTCCGAAATAGATCTTTAACCTTAATCTTCCAATATTTTATCGTAGTGGCTGCACCATTTCAAACGTTCTTGCAGGGCATTTTAACTGGAAAAAATTACAATCTTCCACTATAACCGTGACCAGTTTCCGTGCATTATCGTCAATTCTTCTGCTTTCTCAAAAAATTCGTGCGTTATGATACTCGACCACTCTTCTCCTCGATACCGTAATACTGTTCATGTCTGCTGCGGTTTTGGAGAACTTTACGACAGTGTCGTAAAATTTCGCGAGTTTTTCCTTGACGATTTCGTCTCATTGAAAAACTTGCCCCCAACTGGTGGAATGTCTTAATCTCTACTCGGGGAAAACATAAAACAGCTAATCATTACCGTTATAATGACCTGACAACCTGACAACGGAAAACTAATGTGGGTGGGTATCGAAATTGGTTGCCCAAACTCGATTGGAGAACTATGTCTAGCAGATTATGTCAAGGAGTGCGCCATGTATTCGATCAGGATACAGATTGAGAGTTGAGTCGGTCTCTAGTTAGTTCCTGCTGTTCGTAGATGTTTACCTCAGCTGCTTTTTTGGTTTGAAGTCAGAATTTTTCTAAGACTGCCGTAAAGCCATCCCAACGAAATGATTCCAATACCTGTTAAGACGATGTCGTTGGCATCTTTCTCATCTCTGTCCTTGCAAGCAGAAAAGTGCTCAGAAAAGTCTTCGGGTGCTGTTCGCAGCAACATTGTGGGACCTATGAGTCCTTTTCTCCACTCATGTGGACCTATATGTAGGCCTATGGGCCTTGAGTTTGTGTTTGACGTCAACAATATGAAAAAGGAAAACCCTCATTCACTCAAATCATTTTTTTGTCCTCCCTGTGAGTTTTGTTGCATAGAAGTAGCATATACTGAACAGTTAGCTCACTCTGGGTGTTCTAGTGGGTAGCATCCTTTCCAGAGGATAAAATAGAAAACTAAATGTGATTTCCAGGGGAGCATATCTAAGGAAAATGTCCAATGAACGGAACTCGTGATTACGGCCGAACGCCACCTAAAGTGGGCCATAAATGTCGAGGCAAACATTTCATAAGTCGTTCCTATACCGACACCGTCTCGCAACGGCCTGGTTCCGACTCTCTCTCGCCAATAGACGTAGTGATATATGCATAATATAAACGCTTTTTGGAAGCTCTCGAGTTCCTCTAAGACCTACTCTGCCCATTCACCCCACATCGCCCTTTTTACCTCAGATTCAAGTCAAGCTAACAGCATGACTCTGGCGCTCTATGTGAGAAGTAGGCTAGGCTATGACCTTGAATCAAGAGCTTCGACCTCGTGAGAAAACTTCATGCAGGAAAATAGTAGTCGCTGAAGTTCTNGACTCTCTCTCGCCAATAGACGTAGTGATATATGTATAATATAAACGCTTTTTGGAAGCTCTCGAGTTCCTCTAAGACCTACTCTGCCATCCACCGCCCACACCTTTTTACTTCACTTCAACTTAACAGCATGACTCTGTGTGAGAAGTAGGCTAGGCTATGACCTTGAATCAAGAGCTTCGACCTCGTGAGAAAACTTCATGCAGGAAAATAGTAGTCGCTGAAGTTCTAACGTTGTATAAAACTGTATTGACCTGGGAAGTGTAGCCTGGACACCCTAGTCTTACCATTTTGTTCTGAGTTAAGCGGGTGACTTTTGTCGCTCGCCATACAGGCTTCAACCTAATGCTTTAGCTTGCAGCTGGACGAAATGCATGTCGTTACTGTCGCTTCAATCGCTGTCTGAAATCCGGCATGAAACTTGAAGGTGAGTGTTTTCCTCGGGTCTTTACATTACATGATCCATAGCTTTAGTAACTAGTAAATTAGTTCCGAAAAGATGTTGGTATTTAAAAATCTTGACAATTTAGATTTCAAAATACTAACATCGTAGCGGGGTGCCGAGGTCGGGTGTCGATTACTTCTGTTCAGAAAAGTGCAGGATGAAATTTAGCTCGGACCAGGTTGCCCAGCATCGAAAGACTACGACTTGCTAAGCGTACCAGTGCTAAAATATGTATGGGCATTTTAAATTCATGGGGGCGAGTCCTGAAGACAGAAATGTGAATGGTGGTCCTGTAGTGGACAATTTATGACTGAAGTACTAATTATGTATGCCGGAGATTCTGCGGTCATATGTTCTCATTCGGGCTAAAAAACTGATCCTTTGCGTAGTGTACCTCAACTGTGTGGTATAATGCAAAATGACCTATCACCATAGGTTATATTTCTCCAAGTTGGGTAGCCGGACTGTCCAACGATGTTAGGATTCCCGTCTCATAGATGACTATACTGCTTTCCTTTAGAGATGAGAGTAATGAATACTACAGGGAGTATACTTCTGTACTGTCAGCACTAGAGCCGAATTATGTATGCCAGATCAGTTGTACAACAAATCGGTATTGATCGTTATCGGTCGATAGTCTTCGACCATCGTTGCTATGGCGTGATGCCCATTGTAACACTATTTCTTTAAAGATTTGAGTTTTAAGTTTTGTAACAAACAAGGGGAAAAAACAGGAACGGACGTATTTTGTATAGTGTAGTGTTCACAACTAAACCCCAAACTTTTCTATTCTCGTCCTTTTTACATCTTTGGTCCAGAAAGGAGGAGTAAAAAAACTTCAGTTTAATACCATACGTGACTTTACAGAACGTCTCCCCGGTGTGGTTTGGAGAGCAGAGGTGAAAAACTTCTGTTTGGTACCGTACACTCTAAACTTTTTAATTCAATTATTAATCGTATTCACTCGAAACAAAAATTTACCTAGTCATATGAAAGATGTAATATTGTCTGACTCTTCCTGACTGAGAGCCCGTTTTCCACAATATGATTTTCGTAAAACAACACTGGTTTCGCTGACTGTAGCTCCAATGAACAAATCACATGTACTTTTAAACGTTTGACCTTGTAGTGTTCGGTTACGGTATGACAAGGATTAATGGCGCACTTACAGAGCGAATACGTGCGGCGTGAAATCGGAAAATATTACTCGGAACTTGGGGTTGGTAATAAAATCGAGTTTTCTGTAACTTGTTGGAACCAACGGCCCTACATCTGTAGTCCATGCTAATTTTTGCTCAGGATAAAAGATAGCAAGACTAAAGATGGTTACTAAACTGACACGACCATTTCAGCTGTTCGAATGGACAAGAAGAACGACAAAGTCCTGAAACGAAAACGTAGTGACATCGACAGTGATGAATTCGATGAAAACCAGGAGAATATTGAAGCGGTGAGTGAAACTGCATGGGTTGAAAAAAAATTCATTACAGAAAAATGGTTACAGAGAAAACATTTCGTCTTGGACGAAATTTGACGGCCCAACCTTTCTCCGTAAGGGATGGAGAACAAGCCCGTAACAATTTATAAAAATAAGAACCAAACTGGGGGTGAACGCTCACACTAATGATTCATAGGTCGTGGAAGAGCTTAAGAAATGGTAACTGAATGGCTTTAGTGGTGCTTTGAACTGTAATTTATTTTGGTTTCGAGAAATATAATTTCCTCGATGATAAAGGCGCTTTCCGTTGCAGCCTGGCCTGAAACGTCAGCGTATGGACCATCGTCTACTGACTTCGTCACTAATGCTCATTGATCGTACAGCCAGTGATGGTAACGGCAAAATGCCGTCTCTTCGTACACTGGTATCGCTGTCGATGGTGATTGAAGAACCAGAAATTCTTGACGGAGATCGAACGGAGGTAACCGCTCTCCAACCATCCCGTGGCTTTCACTAGAACATATGTAGAGTGGGAAGAAAGAGCGGTGATGAAGGTTTCTCCTCACTCTAAAGTGCTGTAGGGTAAAGTCGTCAACCTGAGAAGTTAAATGGATTTTACTAGAAGAGCCAAAAGTTTCGAAACGTTCATGAACAATTAGATGATATCGCCAAGGGAACTTATTTTCGAAATGGGATCTCTAACTTCGGACAATACTAAGCCCTAGGTAGAATCGTGAATTAGTTGTGGAAAACGACTGCTCGTTTCATAGTACAGTCTGGCGATTTCAGATGAGCTTTCGCGCTTGCATACCGGCTGACGAAATGGCTTGCGCCGAAAGTGAACGTCGTCTGCTAACATGGGCGATCGACTGGACAAGGCAGGTGGCGGATATGGAAGACGCCATCAGCAACAACGACAAGGTTTGTATCAAGTTTGAAAACCCGTGGTTGACTGGATCTATCTGGGCCTCCAGCAACAGTCATCATAAGTAGCTTTAAGCTTGACTAGCTTATTACGTAAACATCGCCAGGGTAGAAGTCCTGTAAGGATTCAGTGTGAAATGACATTTGCAGTTTCTTTTCGAAGGTTCTGTTTCGACCGTGTCAATAGGGATGGCACGTGGGGAGCATTTAGATTTCGCGAATAGGAACAATAATTGCAAAAACCAGTTTTTCGCTGTTTACATCAGAATTCAGTTACGCACGTGATGGATCTTTGAATAGTACAAAATGATCAGGCATTCCATAAACTCACTCATGCACTTGGAAGGATCGTCACATTTTTCGGTCCCAGCATCGGAACAGAGAATGGTCTGAAACTGTGCGGGGAACAGAATGCACTCACGGACCCACATAGTTGCTTAGGATATTCACCATACATTAGTACAAGGGGATGGGGGAAGCATCAAAACATAACCAGACTAATGTCATTTTTCCTGTTTATTTGCTCCACATTTGTCACTTTTAATCAGAGTCACACGCACGGTCAGGGGTTCGAATCCCGGATCGATGCCCGCCTAGGCCAACCAAGCCTTCCATCCCTCCGAGGTCGGTGAATTGGTACCAGACTCGTCTGGGAGGATAAAAGCACTGACTTGTACATCGGCTGGCCACCGCAAGTCATTGTATAGGCCACATNCGCACTCATTACGCCACTACGATTCTGAATGAAAGTCGAGTGCGGGGCGCATCCCTCAGACGGGATTGATTAACGCCAAAAACTTTATCCTTTATCCTTATCCTTAATCAGAGTCATAATCGGATCAACAGCAGCAATGTCACTTGAATGTGAATTTGGTCCTCCCAGCGGTATGCGGAGACCAAGCAGTGGTCCGATTTATCTTCCAATCTCTCCAGACTGGGTCCCTCCTTCCCTCCGCCAGAATTCTGCTAGGCGGGCGGTTCGTCTTGAGTGAAAAACTCAAGCGTTGACCTAACAATACATACCAGGAGGTTTATAACAACGGCCTATAAAACTACCATTTGCCCTTTGAAGATAAGGATTTTGAAACATAACTTTCTTCGTGTACAAACAGCTCCTACTTACCCTAAACCTTTTCCACAATACTAGCAAAACCGTTCTACTCTAGCATTACACTGTTTTAGATCTCGTTGTTGCGTGCGTGCTGTGTGCCGTTGACTCTACTGGAGCTCGGCATACGGTCTAGTGTCATCGCTGCTACGGCTGCTACTGCTCAGATTATTGGTACAGCCACAGCAGCCACAGGACACGTCCTGCCCCTGCCCAACAACACCTATCTGTTACCGAATGTGCAGCCGCCATCGAATTGGTACGTTCTTTATGCAGTGTCTGCAGATATTGTATCGATTAGCTTGATTGGGCCGAATTTGTGCCAACTTGTTTGCGTCAGTCTACAAAAGCATCCTGGCGCATTTCTAAAAGGCAGGGACTATAAACGAGCCAAGATCCAGATTAAATTTGTTTATTTTAGCTTTCTGACACCGAATGTGATTCAAGCGCTGCTTAAATGGACGGAACGCCATCTGAAACCGCTACAACTGTCACCCAAGGAACTAGTGTTACTGAAAGCGCTCGTTGTACTGAATATAGGTAAAACAACTTAAATTTTTAAATCAAGGGAGATAGGTACAAAATCAGGGATCTACCCTCTTAGAAATATAGTGAAAATATCGATCTATGACTTTCCCTGAAAAAAAGGTAAGTTGCTCGACGTCAATCGATGGTCCTTTCTTGAATGAGCCATGTCCTCAACCTGCAATCTGGATCGCGGCGGTTTTCTAGAGCCGGTAAAGCGACTTGCAGTGATGAACTTTCTTACAGATTTTTGTCGTCTCCGACGAGTACAAAACCAACAGCGCAATTTGAAGTGTAGGAGAGTTCGGTCAGTGTAAAAAAAAATTATGCGTAATCTCAGCTGGGGAAGGCGTCCATGATAGTACCACTGCCACTGAGGCATGTTTTCCTTCGAAGGTGCAACTCGACGGGTGTGGTGCGTTAGGAACGAAATGGTCGCGCCGCGGTGAGAGGGGCATCGCGCGCGGAGGAATGTAGCAGGATGCAGCAGTAGGTAAGAAATACAAGAACAAAAGTAGTAATAGTAGAATTATGCATAAAATAATGATCGCAGATCGATTAAGCTGTATGAAAAACGCTAGAGCTGCAATAACGGCGAATGAGTGGTCCGCGACAGCCGCGTGCGGCGAATCGATTACCCAAAATCGTTAGTAACGCCTGTCTCCCCAACTCGACACACGAATTTTGTGATAGTCGACTCATTTTTTCACTAAATTTCTTTCGAAATCCAGGAAACACATGTTTGCATGGATTTCATTCCGCAAGTCACTGTTCCATTCATTTTCCAGCGTATACTGTAGTCGACCACAATCACAAACACAGAGGAATCTTTACAATAGGCAATCGCCAGGCGTGGATCGCGTAGAATTCTGCGAGTTTACGAGGCGATAAAACGGCGTGGCGCAAATTCAGTGATCTAACTAACGTCAAAAGAAAAAACGGACAGAATCACTACGCAAAAGTTTATTGCTTTTTTCCGTATTAGACAACAAACCGACTAAGGAATTTCGGCAATGAAAAGAGGTCAAGTTTTCAAAGATGAGAGGGATCACCAGGAAAGAACATTTCTTGTAATTATGTAATCGAATCCATGAGGTGTTTTTGTAAACGATTACGATCAAAATAGGCTCTACTAATTAGTGATTCGGTAGATGAAACTGTATCAACACCGGCAAACCGGCAGTTTTTTTGGATTCATCACGCATAATGTTTCCCTGGAACTTGTAGAGGCTCTCAACGCTCATTCTCCCTGATCAGTAACGTACTGAAGCTCGTCTACGGCGAATGGCAGTTAGTACCATCCCTGGTACACATGTATTCAGCAATTGTTTTTTAAACTTTTAATGATATATCTTTGTGGGCTGATCTTCGATATCGTTGCCTTCCTCAAAGCTCTACTTACAACAGTAATACCCTAGTAGACCGACAGGCTAATAATTTGGGGGGATAGCCTATCGTGGGTGATGATGGATTATTAAGGGTGGGACGAAGTGGTGTGGTGACAAGTGGCTGTCCAATAAATTTTCATGGCATTTATAGTTATGTGAACTTATAAAGCTGAGCAGTAGGGTTAGAACGTATATTTTACAGTAATGTTCTTCATTCTTCATGAGAACCCCCTTACCATCTTGCAGAAATAGATTTTTTCAGATGCTCATGGTCTTTCGCCTACTGGTGAATCGGCTGTAGGAGCGTTAAGAGATCGAGTACATACGGCGTTGTTCCAGCAATGTGCGGATGTTTGTGAATCGAGCAAAGCAGCAGGACGTCTTGCAAAAATCCTACTGCTTTTACCGCAGCTTCATGTGAGCCTTTCTACCATGGTATACTCTGAAAAGATCAACGCTCTCCCAAACATAGCATTTGCGCACCCTTGAAAGAATCAGTGAGATTCGGTTGGATAACTCCTTTGGGCGCGTAAGTGGCACGTGCGATGACGACACCGTGACGCAACGCAGCCGCGAGCGACGTTTTCGCTTTTATGCTCCATTCGAGCTGAGTTCGCTTTTAATGAAACGTTCGCCACCGCTCTACTGTCATCGCTGTGCGCTGCGTACATCCGCAGTGCGTATTTTACTCCTAGAAGGCCAAAGGGCTTGAACCTCAAACGCTTTTTGTATGAACACGCCGCTCTGTTAAGTGGTTAGAAAGGACGTACTACTCGCACGAAGTGTGCGGCCATGTTCCGACCAGCCTGAGCATTATCGATTGAGTCGCGGTTTGTAGAATTCGTTGGTAAACTGCAGAAACTGGTGAGTAGCAGCCTTCAGACTTCGACGATTCTCCCTGCTTGCGTTCCTGCACGCAGGTAGAATCGTACGAGCGCGATGCGACGGCGGCGCTAGCCACCTATTGACAGCACTGGCACGTGAAACATCGGCGTCCAATGTTGTTGACACCTGTCTAGCGCCGCGTTGCACAGTCGCTCGCTTGCTCGCACACATATTATACCTGCGTTTTTTCCTGCGTGCAGCTACGCACGCAGGTAGAATCGTCGAAGTCTGAAAGCAGCCAGTGCCGAGAGATTCAATTGACATGTCGAGTACGGTATGGCGAGTGTATTGCATTGTAGTGTATTGCACAGCACAGCCTCTATTTGACGCCTTTTCTTGTGCCACCAAACTGAATCCGTCGTTTTTCAAAGTATGAACCTCGGCCAAAATTCTATCAGAGTTCTGTCTCGAATAAGTTCCTCGATTAGTGATTGAATCGAAACATTGAAATTTTTCAGCTGATCGCTATGGAAGTGGTGGAACATCAACGTATGCGTCACACATTTGCACTTCCATATCAGTTAAATCCGCTTTCAGTTCAACTATTTGGTGACATTTTTAAGGAAGGGAAAACAGATGAGCCGTATCTAATGTAAGGATGTTTGTTCAGTAAATTACACAGTTCATATGTTCACCGTGACTGTTTAAGCCATTCTTCGTCGTGCAGTCCATCCAGTGTTGTTAGCAGCTGACTAGCGGAGTCCGAAGGTCCGGCACGGACTTTCATCCCGTTTCCAGAAGACCGGTCGATCACAGACCAGCAAACTGTGGTGGGTTGTTTCTTTCTAAGGTATAGGTGCGTATAGAGATCCCGAATTGATACAAGTTACGCGAAGAATTGTGGGAACATGCGACTGTCACCCTCATATGTAAGGTATCTCCTTTTTCTTGACGATTCAATGAAACTATCTGACTTCTGTTCCGAAAAATTCCACATCCATGGTTAATGGTACCGTTTCACATGGTCCTACCCTCTCTCCCTCCTTATCAATCAGAATTAGTTATCCTTCTACACTCTAGCTGAGAATGTTTCCAGATCGGCCTTGCACACACCAATTCGTACTACTTTTCTGGTAGTGCAGGTTCTTCTCCATCGTATGGGACCACTTCAAGTGTGCAGTCGCCTGAGCTGTCCACAGCAAAGGCTTGGTCTGATGTCAATGAACATTTATGGTACGTCTGACTTCAGCAGAACCAGTCGTATTGGTTGTTCTATTGTCGCTTGCATTTTTGTAGCCACTGGCTCTCCAACTGAGCTGTAACTTCTCTCTAACTGGGCTTGAATACTTCCTACAAATATTTGTTTCTTTTTTTTGTTTGTCCGACAAAGTCCAGTTTACAACAGCAGTCCAGTCGTGCGGTGCACAGATCAAAGGCTGCAGCCGCGTGCGGTTGCGCCGCAACTGTCTGTGGTGCGAACTGGCTGCAGTAAAACAGCGCGTTTCAGCAGCCAGCAGCTGAGCGTATGCCTCTTCCACATAAGATCAATCCATTCGGTCGTTTTTTATTAGTCTATCGATCCAAATGTCCACTTAGTTATGGAGCATTTTTTTGTGTTTTCAAATGAAGTATGTCGTCAGGTACTCAAGTATTCTCGCTATTTTGCTGATGTTTCCTCAAAGACTCATCATTCCTCTTACAATTTTATCTTCTTTTCATGCTTTCATCTCGTTCACTTCTTGTATGTTCGGTTCATGTCCTACATTTCCTTTAGTCGAAGTATAGTGAACTTTTTCTTTCATCCAGTACTGATTTCATAATTTAATTATTTGATTATTCATTTGTGCAGTTCAGTTCACCTCTTAACCGTTTGATTCACCAATCGATCTGATGGAAATCAAGTACTATAATAATTTCGATGGTGAATTTTGTGCTTAGACAGATATTTTTTCGGTCTCGGCAATTCCGAGCAGTTCATGAACGTCAGGGAGCCGAGTTAGAGAGTTTGTGGTATGTCGTTATAATCGTCGTCGCATCGCAACCGCCAACATTTTGTACAGGTTGTTTAATGCACGACCTGTTTTTGAAAAATTCTATATAAAAAGCAGCTTTGTACATTGCCTTAGCCCCTTTACTACATCTGATAAAACTGTATAATCTACATCCATGTTTGTTCGCTTGATTACTGAACATGTTTATTCGAATAAATAAACATTTTAGTTTTCGATGTATTGTTGGAACTTCCCACCAGAAACTCGGTATTTTTTCCGATTGTATCAGTTTTAGAAAAACAAAATTCATGGACTAGTACGAGAGCTATTTTTCCTCTAGGTATTCCTAACTTATGAGTACAATGAACCATTAGTGATTTTCTATTCGCACCTTTTCTCCCCTCATGTAGCTTTCTGTTAAAATGTAGCGGGGGGTGGCACAGCTCATATCCAACACTAACTAAGCACTAAGCGCGTAGATAAGGGAGCGTAGCCGGCTTTGCGGGTCCCTAATTGTGTTTACAAACACTTCATAGCCGGGGTGTTTTTTCCTGAGCCTTGAGAGGAAGAAGCTCCGGAGAGGTGAGTACTGTTGCAGCACGAATAGTATGATGACTTTGAATAGAACGGAATTAGTAATAAATGAATATTTAATTCCAACCCATCCTAGGGGTTTGTACGAGGTTGTGGCCGACGCTGCTCCCCTACTGAGGCTAACTTAAGTTGGGACAGGTATCTGCAGGTGTGGATCTCGATTTCAGCGGCCTATCGCTTCAATCGGTTTGTCTTCAAGAAGCGTTTTTTTTTTGTTAAAATGAAAGATAGTGGGAATGCTGTTATACTCGCTTTGGTCCGATTCTCATCTGGCACGTTCTCTCAGCGAAATCTTGTAGAAGTACTTTATTGAATAGGGTTCTGCTCGCTCGGAAATTTCTCTTTAAACACCATGATTAACTGTTCATTATCGTCACACTCCGCCATTCGAAATACAGGAAGGTAAATTGCCCAACAAACAACCAGTATCTCGGGTTCTGGAATTTTCTTGGGTGAGGTTTTTGTACCCATGTTCCCACGGCAACCGGCATCGGTCGCAACTATCGTAACCTCCCGCGCAAAATTTAAATTGCGCGGGCAGCAGGCACACATAGCTCGGGTGCAGATACATCATTGATATCGTCAGATTCAACTTCATGTTTTCATTTCCAAATTTTCCATTGTATTTTATTTTCAGCTTTTTCGAATACTCATGTTTTCATATTTATCCAATTCGTTCATATCAACTACATCTATGCACTCATATCAGTGTTCCCAGTTGTTTGAATGCTAAAAACGTAGGCTGTCTGTATCTGTATTACTTTTAGATTCTGTTATTCAGTCATTTTGGATTAGTGTCCGCAGTTTAGATTCACAATAGGGTTGAACGGTGAGCAGACGTTCAGTTACTTTTTCGGATGTAAAATTATTCATTTACCAGCGCCGCTACTGGATAGCACATCACCTTCGCCCTTTACTTGTACTTTGCCAACTGAAATGTGATGTGTATAGGAGTACCGCACAGAAATTATTTCTGTGAAGTACTTTTATTGAAAATTTTGAAGGAACTTCGATTTTTTAGAAATATTATTTGCACACCGCATTTTCACAAAATCATTACTGCAACTGATGTAATAACCATAACAGGCATTTGGGAGAATAATATGGCGACAACAAATAGCGAGAACACTTTGGACTGTGTCGCCTCATACTCGAAACTAAGAACTAAGTAAAGCATTGAGACTTCCCGAAGCTAAATATCAAAACAGTTGCAGTTTCTTATTGTTTAATGGTTCAGTATGAACAGTGAATGACTCTCTAGAGCATTCCTCCGAAACCCACCCAAAACCCGAAGATATCGGCAGAATCATATTGCCTTCCCTCACCGTTCCACGGACCTTCTATGCCAAACGGGAATGGCCCATTTTCTGGTTTACTGTTGGCCAACCGTTGAAAGGTCCATTATTCCATCTTCCGTTCCAAGAATTTTGCCAGGGTTTTCCCCATTGGGTTTTTTCAGGACCAGGACCAGCGAGTGGAAAATGTCCCCCATGTGGTCTTGGGTGAAAGTCGTGTGGACCGGGCCCGTGTGTGACTTGACGTTCATCATGCGGCTTGGTGTAGGGTTCGTGGGAAACGGGTTTACTCGTGACACGCTGTTCCTCATAGGGCTTTGGATGGGTTTCACGTGTAACCTGCTCATGTGTCACTTTACGTTCCTCTTGCAGCTTTATGTAGGGTTTGTGGAAAAGGGGTTCATGTGTGACTTGACCTTCTTCATGAGAACTTGGATGAGTTTGATGTGTGCTCTGTTCGTGCGTGGCTTGACGTTCCTCGGGCTGCTTTGAATGGGACTCGTGGAAATAGAGATTATGCGTGGTTTGACGTTCTTCATGCGGCTTCGGGTGAGGCCTGTGGAGACCGTGCTTATGCGTGACTTGACGACCCTCCTGAGGATTTGGGTGAGTTCCATGTGAACCATGTTCATGCATCATTCGTTTGATGGCCAAATTCAGC